ATATAGATTTTTTATGTAAATAAATAATTGTCTTTCTTGTTCTTTGTGATTCACTCAGTCATATGGATTAACTAATTTCAAAGCATAGACTATCCTATTCGGGTAACAATCTATAAATTATGGCCTCTTCTTTATGTTAATGAACACAAATTAAGACACAAGAATGTTCTTGATATTAGGTATTCTCGAGTATGATTGACTTTAAGGAGCAGTAGTGACACGGGAGCGATTTTGTAGCTCCCGTTGTGGTAGTTTCGGGAACAAAGCTGAGACACGCTTAGTGCTCCTGGATTGAACCGGTTCAAGTTGGGTCCTTGTTGAGTTGGTCGGTCCTCTTGGACCACTCCTAGTTATCCTATTATTATATATCTATTTTTGTTGGAGTCTAGGTTTTGCGTGAGTTTGTTCGAGATTATTGCTGAAGTCTCCGTTTCCCCTTCAAGGGCTCTATCCGAGGGTTTGAGTGATGTTCCAACTGTATCTCTCCCCAAAGGTAGTGCTTATCTTTCCTATCCCCTTCCGCATCTTTCCCACGATGCTCCCTGCTGCCCTCCATCGCTGCTGCCGCTCCCAAACAACACTCGTTTGCCGTTTTTCACTGCAGTTTTCCAATTCCAGCTTTTCTTGGCCGCTTCCACCACCCCTGACAGCCGCCCCTTGCTGTCCTGCAGTCCCCCGCTTTACCCCCTCGCTGCTGCCAACCAACTGAGACAGCAATTTTTTCTATTTATCCTGCGCTCCAGTCGCCCGCCAACCTGCTTTCATCAATCCAGTCTGCTGCCTTGTGGCAATTGGCCCTTTTCTCTTGTTGCTGTCATCCGAAAAATAGCAAAGCTGCTGTTTTCCTGCTGTCCTCTGGCCGTTCAATCCTTTTTCACCATACATTGCAGCTCCGCTTGCCATCTCGCTTGCTGTCTCACTCTCTCTAACTGATACTTCCATCCCCTTTCGCTGCATTGCTACTATTTCCCGTAGTCCGCACCTTCCCTACCTCACTGCCACCTTTTCAAGGTCCCAACAGCAACCACCACCACTTGAAATCCATCATAGCATCAGGTCGTGTGTCGTGGTTTTTTTATTTTCCATTTGATTATGTGTTTGATTCTAACATTCTATTTGGCTTTTTCATTAATAATATTTGCTTTACCTATTGTCATTAGGGTTAACTCCAGTATCACTTAGTCTGGGGATTGATCAACCTAGATTCTCTATTTGACTTGACCTTATTAATACGACTTACTGTTAGTAATTTACGAGTTTAGATAAGATTTGTTGGTTCTATCTCAATGAATCTTTTTTCTTTTTTTTCTTGTGGAATCTTTTATATTAATTTGTCAGTAATTTATATGACTTATATTTTTAGATTTTTTTCTCCTTCAACAATGACACATGCCTTTATGGATTTATAGTCTTTTTGATTGATGCTGGGGATTATTTTTTTGCTCTTCCTGTCTATTTGGGAGTTCGATAATAGGTGTGTATCATGGCTTAAAAACATTTAATGATTTCATGCTTCTAGTTGGGAGCTTGGAGAACATGTATAGCTTCATGTTCCTTTAGGAGGTTAGTTGCACACTTTATTCAAGGTTATCATGACCTTGAAGCCTACATGGTGCTTCATGTCTTTAGTTGTGTTGCTATAGGAATGTACTATGGAGCCTTGAACTTTGTCAACTAGGTTTTCTCATTTGTCTGAATCATAATGTTGGTGTTGCCATTTTCATGAACTCCAATCATTATTGACATCATGTCCTTAAGCATGTTAAGTAGTGCTTTCTTAGCCTTCTATTTGGTTCCTACTTCAGGCTAACTCCTTTCCTATTTCTCAAAGCGTAATATTTGGTTATGTTGAAGCGAAGGACTGACTCTTTAACATCCCCTATACTTGGGATGTGTTCAATAAGCCGCTGAACTAGTTAAAGAAGTACAACTGAGCTGGGTTGGTGATATAAACTTGCATCACCATGCACTGGTTTTAGGGTCACATGGGTCACATGGTTCACTGCTCCTTAGCTTCTTTGAAGGATATTTTCTTTTGAATGTTTTGGGTGCCTTTCATTGGTTTACATTTAGTATTTTGTTTCCTCTAGCCATTGTAATTAGAGAATCTAATCTTGTTGCCTAAGATTTAAATGATTACGAGTTACATAATTACTGGGCAATGGGGATACATCGAGAGGGGCTGATTGAGAAGAGAGTTTGGGTTCATGTGAATAATCATGAGCTAGAATGAGAGAAAAGAAATTAGAAACAATAAACTTCATTATGATAAGGCTTAGCTTCTTTGTCTTTCTTTATTTTCTTTCCTTAATAAGGGTTATAGAAGGTGTCTTTGAACTTTTGGAAGATACAATTCTCTCTACTGAGGTCAGGATTAAACAATGTTTTCCAATATTCTCTTAGTGGTATTGAAAGAATGCTCTTGGATATTGTTACCAGATAAGTCCTCTTAGTTCTGTGAGATTTTGGGTGCTTCTCTGATAAGGCTCATGCTGCTTCACTTTCATTGGCTTCATGTTAGTAGGGGATCAGTGTCAAGCTTGCTAATGACTGCATCAAAGGTATAATACTGAGGTTGCTATACATGGTTTGCTAGGCAAGCCGAGCTAAGTATGACCATCCAAGCTGTGATCCGTAAGATTTGTCGGAGAGTTGTTGTTATGGTAGTTATTGCATTGCATGAGGATTATTGAGGACTACTCGGGGCTTATGCTTTTTCTCACCTCCCATGTTGGTGTCACTTGCCAACCCATGGCCGAAACTCTCCTTAAGTACTCCGCTCACATAGGACTTTGTCTTAAGATCTTGTTTTCACATCCCTCATTTCTTTGGACTTAGGGTCTATCATGCTCAGGTGTTGCGGGTGAACATCCCTGACAATGAGGGGAGTTAGGTTAAATCTAACCCTTGATCTTAGGTTCAACTTCTAAATGATATAAGACAACAACTATACAAACACTCAATGGGTCAAATAAAAAGGGGATTGAAAATTTTTCCCAAATGATAATATATACTTTTTGGCTCTTCTAAATTATTTATTCTGAAAATTGATCTTTGAGGGTGAACTCCAAAATGTGGCCAATTTAGATCCAAAGTTATCACATTTCTCCAATTCAGCTCTCGACCTAACAAAATTGATCCAAAATCTTCCATTGGGGACTTAATTGGGAACAATTTTATATAATAAAGAAACTTAATTGGGATCAATTTCGTATTTTAATTTCTTTAAGAGAGGCCATTTTGGATGACTTTTTATTGTTGGGGGACTAAATTGGAGAAATATGCTACTTTAGCACTAACTTGGTCCCACACAATTGTTATCTTTGAAGATCTGCTTTTGAAATTTGAATATCTAAAAATTGAATGTGCTAAATTTGAATTGGTGCTGTAAGTTTGCATGCTTCAGCATGTGATGTATGTATATCTCAAATATCAACATTGATGTTTCTAGTTGTGTCAAGCGTTTATTAGTAAATTCTCAAGTTTCGTTACTATGTTATCTCTTTGGAGGGTAAATGATGTTACGAAAACAAACATCATTTATTTAATGATGTTACGAAAACAAACATAAATTCTCAAGTTTGCATGCCTTCATTTTTAAGTTAATGATGTTACGAAAGTCGTCTTAGATGGTTTGGTCATATTAAATGTCGACCATTAGATGATCCGATTAGGAGAGTAGATGTTTTAAATTCGACTTGTGTTAAGAAAGGCAGAGGTAGACCTAGGAAGACTTGGGCTTATTGTATTAAAAATGATCTTAATTTACTAGAACTAAATGAAAATATGACACTAAATAGGACGCAATGGAGAAAAAGGATTCATGTAGCCGACCCCACGTAGTGGGATTAAGGCTTTGTTGTTGTTGTTGTTGTTGATGTTACGAAAACAAACACATGGACTAGCGCACGTGTGATGCAGACAAGCCGTGCAATTTTATGCATTTTGATTTATTTTTAATTTATATTGAATTTATTAAAATTGATTTATTTCTCTATATTTCTTTTAGATTGCAACAACCGGAATTCTATTTTCTAGTTTATCACATGTCCTTCCTCTTTCCGACTATAATTAGGCTGCTGACTGCTGTGACAATTGTTAATTAATAGGAGGCCTTTTTGGTTGTGCTGGGGTGGCATTAGGCCGCGTGTTACGGTTTTTCTTATCTTTGTACTCATTTTTATTAGTCATTTGTTGTTGTTTCATCTGTCCTCTCCATCTTGCATCAATGTGTGCCTTGCATGGTCATTCTATGTTTTTCAGAAAGCTTACGTGAAACATAGATCTTTATTTGTTTGTATGAATTTTGTTTTTTGGCTTTAAATATTTGAAACTTTGCTGGTAAATTTTATTCTGGCAAAGGTCCTGACATGCAGTTTTTTCTCTTCTAACGGGTTGAGTCACATTGTACCTTGGGCTATTTCTGCCTTGGGTGTGAGTTATTTTTTGTTTTAAACCTATTTGAAACGTTAACAATTGGTAAAAGCACCATATATGAGGTGCTGACTTTACGTGATTACTGCATGAATGCATATTTTTTATTTCAAGCTATAATAATTGCTTTTTCTTTACTCCTTTTGTTATTAGAATAATGGCCATTGCTTAAAGTGAAATTAAGATCATACCACAGATATTTTCCAAGTTCTTAGCGCAGAAACACCTTAGTTGAGACCAGAATTAAAATCTGATCTGATTTCTTAAACCTTGGCCTAGATATGTCTATAGGAACCAGGAGACTGCAGCCTTCATCAAATTTCAATGTATAAATGTTCCATCATGTATCATTTGCATTACACTATGCTATCATTTGGCATTTGCTTGGATAATTTGAAAGAAGATATATTTCATCTGCCTCACTTGAAAAGGTGGCATATAATGCCTTTTTTAACATAATTTTGCGCTGATTATTGTTTATGAATGCTTTGCCGTTTTCTTTCTGTCTTCATTAAGTTTGCATCCTTTTACATTTTTATGATATTTTATTTTCTTCATGAAAGCAGAAGAATTGGCTCTCCATTTTAAAAGGAAGAAGTTAGATGTGTTCCCTATAAGAGTTCAATTTTCATCTTTGAAAAGCCAACTTCTGCCAAGCAGTGACTGCCTGTTCTTCAAAAAAGACACGCTTCTAATGTTTAGGTCAGGAAGGGTTCAATATAATAATATATTAGGATTCTGCCATGGGATAACAGAAGCCATTACCTATCACAAGGTATGATGGTGAGTTTCTGAAGTTTCACTCGCACTCTTTTAATTTCAGATCATTTAATTTTTAAGAAAACTTAAGTGCTCGTACTTTTTTGTAATGATAGAAAATCTTTTCAGAGTTAATAATAGCTCTTGTGCTTTTTGTTAGATCTTTTCTGTCCATTTTTTTAGGTGAAAGGTTGTTTATTTTAAAGTGCGAACTTGATGTTATTAAGCTTCCTGTATTATAAATCGTATTGTTTTTCCTTACCTAACTGATTTACATGTCTATAATGCTTCCAAGAAGTTGAGGATATTTCAGTTTCATAGTTTTATTTTATATGATCTGCCAACAGCCCCCACTTTAACAAAAGGATGATGAAGATAAAACTGTTAGCGCTTTCTGGGAAGGAAAAAAAAACCCGAAAGGGAAATCATCAGTCTGTTGTGGAATAGTTGAGCAATATGGATGGACTGTATGAAAAAGAACTACCTCAGAGTAAGAGGGAGAGAGACAGAGGCTTTTTGCTGGTTGTTGTAATAATCTACAAATCCGATAAAGTTTTGACAACCTAAAATATACTTCAATTTTCACACCCCTCAAATTTCGTCTGAGTTAATTTTATAAAAATTTTACCCGTTGAATCGAACAATTCCATGTAAATACCTATATATTAATTATCAATAGATTGAAAAATATAAAATTTGAAAGTTATAAAATTTAATAAATTAACTAAACAATTAATTCCTAATTTTTTACTTAATCCCGCAGCTCAATGTTCACAACCAACTTTCACTCCTTTTATTCACGAGTGTCGGCCAATTTGGGATCCAAAACTATCACATTTCTTTCCCCTCTCCCTATTTCTTATCCTCTCTTCCCTGATCTTTCTCCCTGTTCCTTTCTCGCGCAATAGAAGCAGGCCGCGGGAGAGAGGAGGGGGGGGGGAGGAGGGGGTTGCGCCCTTGCTACAGTGCAAGGGCCGCAATCAGGTAATCCAGCGGCACCTGCGAAGGCTGTAGCTCCCAATTTAGGGCTCGGTAGCAAATTTCATAAGCACAAATCATTCTTTCACGATATGAAGCTTTCATTTTTTTCCTCACCCTTTTGAATTAAAGTTTGCCTCATTTTTTGTGCTTTTCTTGTTTCCGGTATTCTTCAGAAGCTCTGATTGTGAGTCTGAAGTGTCAAAATTTCTTTGCCAGCTTCCATAAAGGTTCTAGCACGATATCAACGTAGGAAATGTATAGTTGGAGGTGATAAAAAGTAAATTTGACAGCTTCGGAGAAAGGCTGGTCAACTAGAAAGTTGTTTATGGTATATTTGGCAAATTAATGATATTTTGAGCCAAACTACATAATGAATTAATATATTATGAATTCTCAGTTCGTTTAGGATTTCAGGTTATTCACCTGAGGCGACAAGTTTGAGGCAAGTGTGTACAAGATCGTTGTAGGACAGATCCTTACATTTCAAGTAAAATAATTCCATGCTAATTTAATAAAAATAATTTGATTTGCGGAAATTAATCGAATCTTAAAGTTTAACATTATGTTTTAGAGGCTATTAAGCTCAATATAAAAGTTATCGCAACGTCCAACCAGTTACCGAAGATTAAGATTTCAGTGTGGCAACTGAGGTGAGTAATTATATTTGTAAATTTAAGTAATTTTTTTTATTTCAGAATGTATGTTTGACTCTATGTATGATCTAGTTTAGTTAGATTATTCATATTAGTAGATGAAAAATATATGCATGTCAGAAAAGATATAGAAGATATGCATGAAATATGTGTATGAGATGCATGATATTTATGATATGTATGATATGAAAGATAGATAGGATATGAAACATATATGCATGAAATATAGAGAGGATGTGAAACATATATGCATGATAGAAAATATATACTTGAGATAATAGGTATGCATGATATGAGAGTTATGTCTGTTGAATAGTTGCACAACAACGTAAGAATAAATATGTACGCTAGTAGATGCATAAAAATATCTCAGAATAATGTATGTTATGAAAAGTGAAATAACTTATATATGAATGCTTGTATGTGTATGTTCAGAGGAGGATTTCACCCTCTAATGGTACAGACAGGGGATGCTAATGTACCAATGCATAGAGTTTTTCTATCAGCCCAGACAGTTGTGATGGTTAGATCACTAACCGCTGTGCCAACGGGATAATATCAGTCAAGGGCGAGTAGACCACATATTATCTACCCAGATAATTGTAATGTTTACATTACCAACCGCTGTGTCGACATGATAATATCAGTCAGGGACAGACAAGGGTCTTTTCACCCTAGATAATTGTGATGTGTAGACCGCTTACCGCTGTGTCGACGGGACCGACAGAGCAATATCGACGAAAGGTATGTTAGTTTTGTTGACGGTAATCCTCATAGAGACAAAAATATATGTAAAGTGTCAAGTAAAATTAAAGTTATGATAAATGCATATAGAAGATTAGTGTTTGTTCATTTGGAAAAAGTTCATTGATATCTGCATTAACATATATTAAATTGCTTATAAAAAATATTAAATATCAGCATGTTATAAGATTTTTTATAGACCAATATGCATATTGAATTCTTTTCCTTGGGTTACTGTAGTTCAGAAACACGATTACTCCTGGGTCATCCTTAGATAATTCATTATGTTGATTTTTAGGCTTTAGACATTTAAATAAGATGAACAGAAGAAAAACAAATGTATACAGGAAATAAGAACCACAAACGGAAAAGTTCAAATTTTTACTTGTTAATTTTAATTGCTTTTCTTAGTGGCTCTTTCATGTATTATTTGAATATTAAATTGTTTGTAATAAAATTAGAATAACAGAGATTTGATTTCCATCGCCCGACCATCCGTTCCTATCTTGGTTAATTCCAAGTCACGGGCCAAGCAGTGACACAGTTGTATCAAAGCAAAAGTTTAGATTAGAGCAAGTGGTTTAGAATAAATAATTTATTTTTTAATGAAAGAGCTAATAGAATAATAGTATTAAGTTATAAATAATATAAATAAAAAATTTTAGTTAAGTCTAATTAAATTATATAGTTGTCATTTCGGAGTTATGGATGATCTGAAAGAAGAGATTAGATATGAGAATGTAGAATCTGTTGTACCTCAGAATGACATAATCAATGCTGAAGCATTCTCTGATATGATGAAGGCTGTTACTCAGTTGATTAAGAATTCTCAATCTCAAGCTAGTATCAGTGGAGCACCAATGGGCAAGTATTTGAAGCTCTTTCAAGATATGAGACCACATTTATTTTCTGGTGCAGGAGGGTCATTGGAATCAGAAAATTGGCTATTGAGAGTTGAGAAAATCATAGATGGCATGACTTGTCCACTAGAGAGGTGAGTTATCTTAGCCACTTTTACTTTTGAGGAGGAAGTTGAAAGATGGTGGCAAGGACAATGCAGGAGAAGTTCGTAGGTAGAACCAATCACGTGGTGCAGTGGGACTAGTTTGCGAAAACCTTCAGAGATTAGTTTGTACCACTATTAGCTAGAAGACAAATGCAAGATAAATTCATTGGGTTGGTACAAGGAGATACATTGATTTTGCAATACGAAGTGAAGTTTACTATGTTATCGAGGTATGCACCCCAGTTGATTCCTAATGCAGGGGAGAAATGTCATAGATTTCTTTTTGAATTGAAGGATTCGATCAGACAACCACTAGTGTCACTTGGGATTGAAGATTATTATTCAGTACTAGTGGAAAGGGCTCGGCGGGTGGAGTTTGATTTCCAACAATTCAGAAGCAAATTCAGAAGCGTAGAGACATGCATAAGAGGAAGAGTTAGGAAGAAGTGACACCAACGTTTCATTTAGGAGAAGGAGAGTCCATTGGGAAGAAATTAAAGTCCTACGCTGGTGAAGTTGTTAGCCAGACTGGCGGTAGCACTATACAACCCTGTGTTAAGTGTGGAAAGCAACATTGTGGTGAAAGTTTATTTGTGTTAAATGTATTTTATTTATGCAAATAGCTTGGACATCAAAGGAGAAACTATCATAATGTCGTTCAGATATTCACATCAGATTCTTACCCAGGAAGAAATCTAGTTCAAAGGAATTGTCAGGAAGGCTCTACCTGTGGCTCGTAAGGAGTAACCAAGTCAAATCATTTGTCTAAGAGTTTATTTCTGAACCCATCAGGAGCCGGATGAGCATGTTGCCACTGATTCTAATGCATAGAATGATATTTTTCAATTATCATTTGACAAGAAACAATTTTTTTTTATCGCTTTTTATTTCATCTTCATAATGTATATATTCACAGTTTATGTGGAGTTCATGAATTTCGAGGACGTAATTTTATAAGGAGGTGAGATTATAATAATTCATTTTGAGAAATCGGGTAAAATTTTGAAGATCTAAAATATACCCAAAATTTTAGATATCTCAGATTTCAATTGAAACAAATTTATAAAATTCAACGCGCTAAATCTAGTAATTTGATATAAATCACTGTATGTAAATTATGATCGGATTGAGAAATATGAATTTGAAAATTATAAGTTTTATTAAATTAATTAGTTAAATAATACTAATCCCGCTTGTGCACTGTAGCCCACTGACCTAACGCCTTCGTTCGGTCGAATAGGAGTCTCGAGCTTTGATTTTCCTTCCCTTTCTCCCAAAATCTCTTCTGCTCTCCCTATTTTCTTCTCATGATCTCCTTTCTCCCTGTTCGGTTCATGCACGGTAGAAGTTGGGAGCTGCGACCTTTGCTACACTGCAAGGGCTGCAAACTAACAGGGAGGCAAGTGACCCCTTGGTTTCCGCGACTTGTACTTTAGGGCTTCGTGTCAATTTTCGTAAGCATGAATCCCTTTCTCTCACCATTCCAAACTTTCATTTCCTTCTTCACCCTTGGTTTTGAATTTTGCCTCGTTTTCATGCATTTTTCCTTTCCGGTAGCCATCAGAGGCGTCTATTGCATGTCGGAAGCGTTCAAAAGTTTTTTTGCATGCTTCTATAAGGGTTCTAGCACGA